AGGGACTGCGGTGTTTCTTGCCCGCAATGTGGTCCTTCATGGCGGTCATCGATAGTGGCCCCGCAAGGTCCTGGGTTTGCTGGACCTGGCCCACTGGGGAGAGGGGGTAGCAGGCGCAACCCACCCTGCCATGACCATGCCCAAACCGAGGTGTAGAAGCCAGGCGACTGCGTCTGCCAGCCACCGGGCGGGTTGGACTGCAAGAGTCCGCGTTCGCTCGCACGTACCCCTCTCCCCACATAAGCCTCGCACGTAGCCAGGCGCCCAGGACACCGCAGGCTTGCCGTAGTCCCTCTTTCCACCCTGGTTCCTGGAGCCACCAGCTGGGCATGCGAATCCCACCTGACGCCGTCTGCGTGAGAGAGACAGGACATGGGGTGGAATAGTCGAGGAGGAATTGATGCCCCAAGGTGTACTCCACACGGCATTCCCACTGACACCCGTCATCAGCTCCAATAAACTGAACATCCGGTGTCAAAGAGCGGCAAGACAAGCCATTATGCATCCGCACGGTGCCCATGGCTCCCGGTGAAGCCACTATCACGTCGAGGCATCGCGAACGACCATGCCAACGATGTGTGTCACCAGGGCGAACTTCGACCATGCGGAGTCGAATTGGGAGTCATACACTTTCTGGGGAAGCTGGGCCAATGACTGGGCTCTGATGCCCCAACCCCCAGGTTGATACCGTCGTCCTAGCAGTTCAGCGGGCTGCAAGTTGATGTTTCCCATAATAATGGCGCGGTCATGTTCCTTGAGGGGCGGGTCCCCCAGCAGCGTTTGAAGGTCCGCTTGTAAGCCAGCGACTTCCTGGAACCATGCCGCATCCCCTCCAGAATTGGGAACTGGGGGGATATACAGCGCGCGCACATACCAAGGGCTACCATGCGCGTCTGCGAGGCGGAGCCGATCCGAGCCGACTGCGGCCAATTCTGCAGTTTGGTGCAGCAAGCTGCAATCCCACTCGACCGCTGTGCTCGCATAGGATGGGCCCCCACGCGAGGCAAGACCCAAGTCTGAGCGTCCCGGGACGGATGCCCCGGCGGGAAAACGGGCACCAGGGAACCCGACAAAGGCCACGTCCAACTGCTTCATGGCCTGCAGAATGCCGACCCGCGCGTCCGTGAATACACCCCACAGTACCCTCGACCCGTCGATGGAGAGGCACCCCATGGTGCTCGGGGAGCCGACCGCTAAATTCACGCCGTGCCGCGGCTCAGCGCCTAGGTTCCCAGAAACCGCAACCTCCCTGCCCGGGCCAGGCAGGTGCCGCAGAGCCCACCGCAGCGCGCCGAGGAGCGCTCGAATAGCTGATAAGGTTCCCAGGGCGTTCTCATTGGTGACTGGAAGGAGCATGCAGGCTTCGTCCCGGAGCTGCTTCCACCGGAACTGCATGAGGGGGTCCACAACTAGGTCCCCACACAGACCAAATCTGCGGGAGTGCGGGAATGCATCCAGGAGGGCATCGAGGAGCTCGTGCATTGTGTCGTGGCAGGGGCCTGCCTCTGGGCTGTGGGACGTGGCGGGCGCGGCCAGGGCCCAGCTGGCTATGGGAGAGCATGGGGCGGTGCGACGAGGACCGCCGTCAGCAGAGACGATGACGCCAACCGCATGCACGGGAGGGGGGTGGGAGAGGGGGGGGGGGTCCTTGGCCCGGCCCAGCCCGATCAGGTCCGGCGTCCCACGGGGACCCGGGGGGGGGATTGGAGGGAGGGAGAGGGAGGAGGAGGAGAGTTGGACGGATACTGGCAGCGCGGCGGGCGCGTACGAGGCCCAATAGAATGCGGACGCCGTCAGCACCGATGGTGACATCAACCGCATGGAGGGGGAGACCTCGGCCCGCCCCAGCCCGCTCCAGTCCGGCCCGATCCCTCGGGGACCAGGGGGGAGGACGGGAGGGCGGAAGAAGGAGGGGAGGGGGAGGGGAGGGAGCTGTGCAGCAGCCTCCGCTCCCTCCGCCTCCGTCCCGACCTCGAATTGCGTCAGCCCCGGGAAAGGCCTGGCCGTAGGGATGGGAACGGGCCAATCGCAGTAGGGCCGGGATGGCCTCTGCGACTGGGGCTCTGCATGACCCTCCGAGCGATGCCTTGCCAACCCATGGCGCAGATGTGGGGCCCAGCGTCGAAAGAGAGGGGAGGGGAGAGCCATGCCCAGGGGGGGGGAGAGCTGCCCACTGCGCTGCTTCCTCAAGACCGATCCCTGCGGCGAGGACGTGTCCTGCGGAAGGAAGATTCCCGGGGCCGTCATCGCCCCCCCCCGGTCCTCCAGCCCTGGGGCACAGCCCCAAGCCGCGCCAGGGGCGGCCAGTGGGCCAGGGAGGGGTGCCCGACGACTGCCCGACAGGAAGCTGGCCCGGACCACGTCCTGGGGCCAACCCCGCGGACAAACCGAACTCTCGCACAGCAACCATCGCAAACAACGGCCGTGCGTGCCACGCTAATCAGTGGAACGGGGGGGACACAAGCTCCCCACCTTCCATGGTGGGGGGCCCTCCAAGCCGAGGACTCCCTCACAGAAGAGCCGCCGAACAATACATGCAGACCTCCACCCCCCCCGACAGCCCAACGCGCGGGCCCCAGCCCCACCGGCAGGGCCCGCAAGGCGCCCCGCCGCAATTCGGCACGACCCTCACGCACTCCAGCCCCAGGAGGGTAGGAAGACCATGGCTTCCCAGCCCGCGGCCCAAGGGCGACCAGGGGAGGTCTGCATGTATTTCCCCACATGTTTCGTGGGGGTCTGGTTTTCTTCTCTGCCGCGGCGCACCCGCGCCTCCTCACCTCCCCTCTTCTCTCTTCCTTCCTCCCCTTACCCGCGCTCAACACATGCACGGCAAGTACATGACATACGCGTCTACATACAGCCGCACGCATGCACACATTCGCACACAACACACACACACACAATACGACGCTAGTGCGCGCCTGGCGTGATCACTGCATCACACATCCACGACGTGCGCGCCACATAGTGGGCACCCACATGAGACACGTCCCGATATGGCCGCTATGTACGACGGTCGTCCAAGCATAGCAGGCGTGGCACTTCCTCGGCACCAGAAGGGGGTGCGCTGGGGGTGGGGCCCCTATCCGTTTCGGGCTCGCAAAGCGTGGCAGGCGTGGCACTTCCTCGACACCAGAGGGGGTGCGCTGGGGGTGGGGGCCCTATGCGCTGCGGGCTCGCAAAGCGTGGCAGGCGTGGCACTTCCTCGACACCAGAGGGGGTGCGCTGGGGGTGGGGGCCCTATGCGCTTCGGGCTCGCAAAGCGTGGCAGACGTGGCACTTCCTCGACACCAGAGGGGTGCGCTGGGGGTGGGGCCCTATGCGCTTCGGGCTCGCAATGCGTGGCAGGCGTGGCACTTCCTCGACACCAGAGGGGGTGCGCTGGGGGTGGGGGCTCTATGCGCTTCGGGCCCGGAAAGCGTGGCAGGCGTTGCACTTCCTCGACACCAGAGGGGGTGCGCTGTGGGTGGGGGCCCTGTGCGTTTCGGGCTCGCAAAGCGTGGCAGGCGTGGCAATTCCTCGACACCAGAGGGGGTGCGCTGGGGGTGAGGGCCCTGTGCGCTTCGGGCTCGCAAAACGTGGCAGGCGTTGCACTTCCTCGACACCAAAGGGGGTGCACTGGGGGTGGGGGCCCTATGCGTTTCGGGCTCGCAAAGCGTGGCAGGCGTAGCACTTCCTCGACACCAGAGGGGGTGCGCTAGGGTTGGGGGGGCCTATGCGTTTCGGGCTCGCAAAGCGTGGCAGTCGTGGCACTTCCTCGACACCAAAGGGGGTGCGCTGGGGGTGGGGGCCCTATGCGCTTCGGGCTCGCAAAGCGTGGCAGGCGTGGCTTCCGACACCAGAGGGGGTGCGCTGGGGGTGGGAGCCCTATGCGTTTCGGGCTCGCGGAGCGTGGCAGGCATGGCACTTCCTCGACACCAGAGGGGGTGCGCTGGGGGTGGGGGCCCTATGCGTTTCGGGCTCGCAATGCGTGGCAGGCGTGGCACTTCCTCGACACCAGAGGGGGTGCGCTGGGGGTGGGGGCCCTATGCGTTTCGGGCTCGCAAAGCGTGGCAGGCGTGGCACTTCCTCGACACCAGAGGGGGTGCGCTGGGGGTGGGGGCCCTATGCGTTTCGGGCTCGCAAAGCGTGGCAGGCGTGGCACTTCCTCGACACCAGAGGGGGTGCGCTGGGGGTGGGGGCCCTATGCGTTTCGGGCTCGCAAAGCGTGGCAGGCGTGGCACTTCCTCGACACCAGAGGGGGTGCGCTGGGGGTGGGGGCCCTATGCGCTTCGGGCTCGCAAAGCGTGGCAGGCGTGGCACTTCCTCGACACCAGAGGGGGTGCGCTAGGAGGAGGAGGAGGAGGAGGAGTAGGAGGAGGAGGAGTTGAGAGGAGTGCGGGGGAGTTGTGAGGAGGAGGAGTTGAGAGGAGGGCGGAGGAGTTCAGAGGAGCGCGGGGGACTTGAGAGGAGTGCGGAGGTGTTGAAACGAGTGTGGAGGAGTTGGGAGGATGAGTTGAGAGCAGTGCGGAGGAGTGCAGAAGGATGAGTACAGAAGGAGGTGAGAGGATGAGTTGAGAGGAGTGCGGAGGAGTTAAGGGAAGTGCGGAGGAATTGAGAGGAGTGCGGAGGAGTTGAGAGGATTGGGTGGGACGAGGAGGAGAAGGAGGAGAAGGACGACGACGACGATGACCACGAGTGCGGCGACGAGTTACGACGAGCACTACGAGTACAACGAGTACGACGACGACGACGAATGCGACGACGAGTGCGACAAGCACGACGACGAATGCGAAGACGAGTACGATGGCGAGGTACGACGACGATTACGATGACGAGTAAGACGATAGAACGGCAACGAATACGACGACGAGTACGACGAGTACGACGACGAGAACGACAAGTACGACGACGATTCGCGACGAGGGTTTAGAACGCAGGATTGCGCATAGATGATAATGACAAGCAAACACATAATATTAAACATCAGTATGTGGGGTTCCTCGGTAGCGTAATGGTTTTCCCGTTTTCCCCTTTGATGCTCACCAGACGATCGGATGATGCAGAGCAGCGCGGCTCGAGCAGAGACGCTATTACGGACGCGACGCGGCTCCAGCTCCACTCCCGCGTCCCCAGACCCACCAGGCCCTCATGCGCGGACCGCAGTCCCCCGGGTCCTCCAAGAGGACCAGGCAGCCGCGGGGGAGGCGGGGGAGAGCGAGGGAAGGAAGGAGAGGGAGCAACGAGATGGATCGCAACACCTCGAGTGCAGACCTAGGCGGCTAACATTTCCTTATGCACGCCCTGCGGGCCCGTGCGGGCCCTCACGGGCGGGTGCACTGGGGGCCGCGGGGGCTGCAGAAGGAAATGTCTTGCCACCCTCCGCGCTGGCCGCAACCTCGGCCGTCGACGACAACGAAGACGATGACGACGCCGCCCGAGACGACGACGACGACGAAGACGACGACGACGACGACGAAGACGACGAAAACGACGACGACGACGGGACGACGACAGACAAAGACCGGGACGACAGAGACGGCGACGACAACACCGACGACGAAGACAACGACAACGACAGCGACGACAACGACGACGACGATGACTACTAGAAGACGACAGACAACGACAAACGACAACGGCGACGACCGACAAAAGACCTCGGGGACCCCCGTCCCGGCACGACCCAGCGCAGTCCTCTGAGGACCGGGAGGGAGGGAGGGGAGGAGGGGGGACCAGAGATGAGGAGGGATGGCACTGTTTTGACAGCTACTCGAGGTAGGACCAATACGGGGGACAAGTGGGTTCCCAGAGCGCCACGTGGCCTGTGGCTCACACTCTCGGACGCGGCGTCGGGAAATAGTAAGCTGGACCCCTCGAGGGCGCCCCTTGGACGGAAGGGAGGAGGAGGAGGAGGAGGAGGAGGAGGAGGAGGAGGAGGAGAAGGAAGAGGAGAAAGAGCGTCAAGGGTACGAGGGGGCAACGCCAGGCAGAACGGTGGGCGGCGGCAGCAGCATGCAGAGGGAGGACCGGGAAGGAAAGCGGAAGGAGAGGAGAGGGGGAAGGCAGAATAGGACCATGGCGAAGACGACGACGACGATCACAGCGACGGCGACGACGACGAGAACGAGAAAGAGGCCGACTGGGAAGATGACGAGGATGACGAGAAGGCTGGGAAAGGCAGGGGACGAGGAGGGAGAGCAGGAGGAACAATCCCACCGCCCGTTGGGAGAAAATCGCAGTCCACTGCCGCTACGGATGGTCAGGCATCTAGAACCTAGCAGATGTATGCACAAGCCTCGAAGAGGGGCACCTGGCAAGTCTAAGCAGTGCGAGAAAGGCGAGAGCGAGGGGCAGGGTCGGGCAGGACCAGGGGCAGCCTTCTGAGAGGCCCCCCGCGCCCTCGCCACGCAGAGGGCGTTCGGCTGCGCAAGGTTGCAAAAGATCGCGATCCGCATCTATTGCAGTCCGCACGATGGCACAACAAACAGATCACATCCAACGATCGCTATCATCATATCTTAACCATCACTATCGTACTCATCCTCACCCTCACTCTCATCCTCCTCATCATCAGCACCATCACCGCTGACGTCACCATCACCATCACCATCATGGTCATGGCCATGGTCATCACCATCACTATCACCATCACCATTACCATCACCATCATCATCCTTACCACATCCTCATCCGCATCCCCTGCTCTTCCTCCTCCTCCTCCTGCCCGACCTCCGACGACTCGATTTTGTTCTCCAGTCTAGCCGTCTCCAGCGGTCCTCGGCGGTCTCCAGCGGCCTCCTGCGCGAAAGCTGGGCGGCTGTGGCAAACAGGAAGGCCACGATCGAACACCTAAAGACTGGACCGCCACGACGGGAGGTCTGGAGAATTAGACAACGCGTTCCATTACTCGCAGAGGAACTACTCGCAAATGGCCTGGATCCGCCGTGGGGGACTTGTGATACATTACATCGATGCAGACATGTGTTTTTCTGACGTTTACGAGTAGGCACTTTGCGAGTAGTGGAACGCGCTTGGTGAGAGATGCGGCGGCAGACCAAAGCCAGGTCGAGGGCGCAGCCTTGGATTCCGGGCCCCGAGAGCTGAGAGGGCGCAGAGCACGTTCCTGAGGCGCTCCGCGCAAGGAAGACTGCTCTGCGAGCCCCAGGGTTGTCTGGGCGCTGGGTGCTCGAAAAAGCGGCGCTGTCCTGTTGCAGCTCCGCGTCCCGGCAAGCTGCCGGAAAGAAGGAGGTCAGGGCCCTGCACGGGATCCAGAAGCACAGGGCAGCTGGAATTTCGGACGCGGGGAAAGAAGAGAAGCGGCTCCCAAAAGGGGGCAGGGCCGGGAGGGATGCCTCAAAGGCCCCGCCCCCAGGTGGGGCGTCTGATCTGGGCTTCAACGGGGCGATCCTCCGTAAGAAGCCCGCTGCACTCTTGCAGAGCACCCCCCGCCCGACCCACTCCTGCGCGAAGGCGGAGAAGGGAGAATGACGGGGGCCCCTGATGGCCAGCCCAAGGCGCGAGGTCACCGGGCCTGAAGCGGGGCGCTCGACGTGGGGGGCACCGCAGCAGCGGGCAGCCGGTGGGCGATGGCGCTGCCGCGGGCGAGGAAGCTCTGCACAGGGGCCAGCATGGGCAGCGGCACCGGCACCCAAACGTGGGGCGTTGCCTCGTCGGCAGAACACATATCTGTATCCGCTGCCTCGTATGCCGGGCCAATGGGCAGCGACCCCGTGGATACGGGGCGTGACTTCGCGGATGCCCCGCGCGGAACGCAACCGTGCGACCGCGCATCCGCGGGATCGCGCCCCGGGATCCAGACCGCGAGGGCGCGGATATGGATATTGTCGCCGCTCGTGATGGCCTGCGTGCCCAGCGCCTGCGGCTCGACGTGGGGCGTTGTCTGGGCATCCAGCGCCAGCTGCTCGGCGACGCGGCATGTGCCACGGGCGTGTGCACGGGTGTGCCGCGCCACCGGCGCTGGGGAGTGCTCCGGCGTGTCGGGCCACAGCTGCAGCGCCTCTGGCGCACCCTCTGGGCCTCGCGACGACGACCTCGCCCGCGAGGTCGTCGGCAGCCTGGGCCGGGCGCCCTCCGACAGGGAGCGGCTCCTCCTCCAGTTGGACCCTGCCTCCTCCGCGCAGTCGAGGTCCTCGGCGCCCAGCCGGAGCGGCGGCAATTGCACCCCCGGACCGCCGCTGCACCCGGAGGCGGGCGCCTCCTCCACGCAGTCGAGGTCCTCGACGCCCTGCTGGAGCGACGGCGAGGTCTCTTCGGGGCTGCCTCCGACCCCTGTGGCGGGCGCCTCCAGCGCGGCCACCGCGCCAGCAGCAGCCAGGCAAGCTGGTGCGGCGTCGGACGACGAGGAGGCCGCAGCGCCGCCTGTGCCGGCCGAGGACGCCGCCACCGCAGAGGGCTCGCAGGGGTCGGCGGAGGCGTCCGAGAGCCACTCGCACTCGTCGTCATCATCTTCCGCGTCGACCTCCTCTGCGTCCATCACCCGGACCGAGTTGACCAGCCAATTCATCTGCAACTCGAGGCTGATGTCCTCCTCCTCCCGGGCGGTGCCAAGTGTCCACATGCACTGGTTCTAAGCCCGCGGTGGGCCTGGCCAGGGGCGGTGCATGTGGAGGGTTGGCGCCCCCGGATCCTCCTCGCCATCCTCTCTGAGCTCGCACTCCACTGCGGCAGCCTCCTCCCCCATGTCCATTGTGAGCTTGACGGCCAGCTTCACCCCGAGCCCCGCCTCGGAGCCAGACTCCATCGTGGACTGCGCCGAGGTCAGCTGCTCCGACAGCGAAGCCAGCTGGGTCGCCCTCTGCTTGGCCTTCCTTGATGGCGCGCAAAGGGAGCTGGGCAAGGGGGGTGGCCTCCTCAGAAGGCAGAGGGCTTCTCAGACGGATACTACCCCTCCTCAGAAGCCTCTGAGATGGCTTCTAGGAGGGTCTCTGAGAGGTGGGACAATCCTTCTTAGAAGACCGCCTCGCCCTGACCCCGGCTAAAATCCGCTCAATACTCGTCCCCAGATCCCTTCTGGGGTGCCCTGAGCATCACACACACACACATCCATACTAGAACCATGCGCGCTTCGCACGTGTTTAAGTTCTAGTCGTTCCAGTGCTGACCGCATGGACAGCAAAGACTGTCATAACAAGTGAATTCCCAATTCACCAGTTTCTCTTCCCTCCTCCTCCACGCTCCACGCGAATCGGCTGGTCAACTGGTGACTGGTCACGCAGCTATGGACCAGGACAACTGCAGCGCTACAGCGATCCCCAACGTGCTGTACTGCGCCATACTGCACGTTCTCATGTCATGATACGCCATGCCGTACCATGCTATGATCTGCTGCGCCAGGCTACAGCCTGCAATACTCTACAAGGCCATGTCACGTTATACTGTGCAATGATATGCTAAAGTTTTCAATGGCACGTTGAACCGAATTACGCGATGAGTTCTATGACATGCAATTATACTACATGTGGTGATACGAGCAAACATGGTATGGCATGCTATGCAATTAAATGTTAGGAGATGGTGTGAGCGAGTCTGCAAATATAGGCACTGGACTGCTTATGCAAAACAATGTTCTAATGTTCGCACATGCTAATGTTCAACGTTGTGCACTCGACTACCGGTGTGTGGTATGCAACGCTATCCCATGTAATGCCGTCATGCGGCATTGTGCGACGTATATCGCAATGCTAAGCAACGTTATGCTACGAGTGCAACGACGGGCTATGCTATACAATGGCATGCAACGCAATCCTATGGCATGCGATGCCGTGACATACTATGCACGGCCACGCCGCCATGTTTGGTATGCCATGTTACGCGAATGATGCACTTGCATGATATGCAGGGGCGAAACGACGGTATGCGTTCCTATGACTTTAACTGTACGATGATTGTGTTTGCAATGTGCTGCATCAGATTGCATCACATACGCACCAGACACATATCCTTACGTATGCAACGAATTGTTACCACTGATCGGGTTCGCGCTGGGAGCAAGCATTTCCCACCTCACCATTCGAAGGTGCTGCCTCTAGAACGTATGTCACAGGCCGGGGTGCTCAGAGTCTTGCGATCGAGCGACCAAAGGAGCCTTCTCGAAAAGGGAAAGATGAGAAAAACCTGTGCCATCTTGCCTGTCAGCGGTTTCTAGGGCCGCCGTCCCTTGGGGCATCCGGGGGGGCTCGTCGACGCTCTTCAGGCCGTCTGGAGCTCTCTGGGCCCCCCGCGGTCTTTCCAAGACGGTTACTGGTGCGTCCAGGCGCCGCCCCTGGAGCCCCAGGATCCTCCCGGAGCACCAGGAGGGGAGCCCCGGCACCGCGGTGGTCTGTTGAGCACCTGCCTCCCGGGCCCCGGCCCTGCCGTTTATGCGCGTATCCATGCCGTCGCAGCCTGAAATCCGAGGCGCGATCCCGTGGATACGCGATCCCATTGATACTTTCTGCGCGGGGCGTCCGCACGAAGCCGCCCCACATATCCGCAGGGTCCCGGCCGAGGAGTCCGGACCGCGAGTGGGGGGCAACGATAGGGGTGGACTGGCATGGGGGGGGAGGGGGGGGGGGGGGGGGGGGGCAAAATCGATGGACCGGCGATACATCGCCGATAGATCGGCGATAGGCCCCCGACAGTGAGTCCGCACGTGCCTGGGCGGGGGTGGGCTATCGGGCCCCTATCGGCGAGGAATGGAGGATTGGGGCTCGATGCATCCTCCCCTAGCTATGCCTGTCTCAGCCCCGTACCGTTGCCCCTGAGCGAGGCCGTGGACACGGACATGTTTTCCGCTCACGAGGTGCACCCTCGCCAGTCTCCCGAGCCGCCCCTAGGCCGTGGCGGCGAGGCGGGACCAACGAGCGCCAGAGAGCGAGGAGACCCTGGCACGAAGGAGACGGGTCCTGACGGCCGCCAGTCTGGGGCTCCGAGGCTTCTCCACAGAGGCGAGCGACTCATCCCGAGTCGCTATGCGACGGTCCCAAGGGCCCGTCGAGGGCCCTGGGAGCCAGGAAAGCGGCAGAAGGCACCTCTAATCCCGCTTCCCCTCCGGATCCCGCTTCCTCGCGGCACCCGGCGAGGAGAGTGAGGACTTGGACGCCATGGTAATTACAGAAAACATGGGTACGACGCCCAACAACCAACGTTGTCCAAGGCCGACAGCGAGCCCTGCTTAAAATGAAGAGGGAGCGCCGTTGGGAACCTGTCCGTACCCATACACCGCTCGTGCCGAGAGGAGAGCGCCGCGTCTTCGCGTCTGTGCGCCCGCCCGCCTCTTCGCGCGCTGCCCCGCCGGCGGGGCCTCCCCGAGGGCGCGCAGGAGCTCCTCGATGTCTCGGTTGTCGGCCTCCGCCGGCGGCGGCGGCGCCTCCGCGGGGCACTGGCGGCGGATGCGCCGAGTGGGCGCCCGGCGTGCGCCCGTGTTCGCCTGCGGCGAGGGTCCCGCAGGCGGCCCTCCACGTGGATCTCCGACGATCCGTTTGTTGTGCGATCCCGGCGCCTGTCCTCGAGTTCGACTTCGGCCCCCGGGACTATCAGAGACAGGTCCAGGACGAACAACTAGTGCCAAGGCCGCCCATCGGAAACGGGTCCTGGAGGAAAGGGATCATGGATTTTGTCCCTCAACTTTCGGGCCCCTGAGGGCCCTCCACGGGCGCCGAGACCGTCACAAACGGCCCAGCATGAAGAGCTGGTCCTGGGAAACTGGCCCAGGGGTCTGGTGCACGTTTTCCCGAGGACTCCTTTCCTGAGGGTCGACGTTAGAAGAGGGACCAGCTCAGGGGGGGGAACATCGAGACTGAATCGGCGATACATCGCCGATAGATCCGCGATAGCGCCCCCTGGCGAATCCACACGTTCCTGGGCGGGTGCGGCTATCCGGCGCCCATCGGCGATCAATGTGCGATTGGGGGTCGATGCGTCCCCCCCGAGCCCATCCCCCCTAGCGTTGCCCCAGATCGATCGAGGCGCCGGTGCAATTGGATCGATCCGCTCGGGCGTCGCGCTCCGCGGGTCATGGAGGGGGCCAGCACTGCGTCCTGGAGCGCGACGCTCGAAGCGCGGTCATCTTCGCGTCTCCGTAGGGAGTCAAAAGATGTACCCATATTACTACTCCACGGATCTCTCCCAGGGTGCGTTCTGACCACAATTTCGAAGCCTATCAAGCGGTGGCGACGAGGGTTTCCTAGGAGGTCCCAAACAGGGAAACCGAGGAAAAGGCAGCTGTATCGGTACCTTCTCCTCCTCTGAATTTCTGCGGGTGGCATGGGTTGGACCGGTCCCCCCTTCGTGGAGGTGGGTCGTCCGTTGGGCGCGCGCCACCGAACCGATCGGCGCCTCACGCTACAAGCGTCGGCACGCATCGTCGGACCGGTCACGTCGGTCGTGGACGGCCTTGCCCCCCGCAACCGCAGCAGGGCCCACAAGAGGGCAGTCCAGGAAAGAGACACTGGTGGATTGAAGGTGCCTGAAAATCGGAAGTACGTGGAAACATTAAGTAGGAAGGCGAGTAAAGTAGATTGGTTTCGGGCCCGCCCAGAGAATAACACAGTATACCATTTGCATATCGATTCTTGAAATAAGAAGGCGCTTGAAGTAGATTGGGATCAGGGAATCCCAAAGGCTCCTGGACTCCGAGGCTTCCCCCCAGGACCAGCTCGTCATCTCGAGATCTGAAGCTACTTTCTAACAGTCCAGGGGCCCGAGGGGGGCCCCAGGAGCCCGACAACAGCGAAGAAACTCAGGACCCGTGGCCCTGAGGAACCGCTTCCTTCATGGCGATGTGTGGCTCTCCAGTCGAGCCGACGCTGCTGGAAGGGTCCCGTCGTCGCCCCAAGACCGCCGCAAGACAGAGATCGGAGGGCGTGCGCAGGCCGCCCGCCCCATCCTCATCCCCGCTCGCCCCATGCACGCCTGCGCCCTGCTGGCGTGAGCCCTGGAGGGTGTGGCCTTCGTCAGGAGCGCCTGCGGGGAAGCCAGAAGGTAGCGATAGCGCTGCTCTCCCGAGGTGCGTTCTGATCAAGACTTCGAGGCAAATCCAGATGGTGGTAATGGGGGCCTCCCAGGAGGCCCAAAAGGGCGAAACCGAGGCGAGGGTAGTGGTATCGGTACGTACCTTTTCCTCCTCTGAGTACCTGCCCCTGCGAGGTGCTGCCCAGCTGGCGGAGCAGGTCCCGCAACGCGGCGCCCTGGCACGGTGGCGCGGTCATCGCCTGCGCCGTCTAAAAAGCGGCGGCGCCCGCCTGGCGGCCTGTCTCGAGAGTGATGGGCCGAATTTCCACCACCACTAGCATAGGTAGGAGAGGGAGGAGGAGGAGGAGGAGGAGGAGGAGGAGGAGGAGGAAGACCTCCCGATCCTCCCTTCTCCCCTGTCCTACCTGATGGTAGTGGTGGTGGAGAATTGGCCCATCAGAGACACCTCGCGGCACCGAGGTTCTCGGACCCTGGGCGCCTTGGGCCCAAGTGGCTGCAGAAGAGCAGCGGGACGAGAGGGAGGAGAGGGAGAGGCAAGGTCACAGGCGAGGGCGTGGAGGTCAGGAGCGAGAGCGTGGAACCATCATACCTACCAAGGCTAAAAACAAAACAAGAAAAGATGGGAAAGCGGCAGAGGGAGGAGGGAGATGATGCGATAGAGTAGAATGAGGCGAGAGATGGAACTAAGGAGATGAAGCGGAAGGAGGCGGATAAGCGATGGGGCAGGAGCGGCACTGAGGCGTTCGAGTGAACAGCGACGGGCAACACGAGAGCGCCTCGCGCCGAACCCTGCACGGGGAGGCACGGTACCCTCCTGACCAGCGCCACCCCACCTCTCGGCTGACAAAACCTGGGCCGATTGACAAGCCTGAGGACCGCTTGTGCGCAACTGCGGCGGGCCCGGGCCGTGACGACTTGCACGCTGGCTTCTGACACCGCGTGGATCCTTCAACCTCAAGCAATCGAAACATCCGACGATGCAGACCGTGCGATATCGGCAAGTTCTGGGCCACCAGCGGCGTTCAGCCTAAAACGCCCACGCCCACGCCCAGGTCGCCGACGCGTCGACGCGGCCCGGAGCTGTGGTACTCATCTGTCTGCCGATCCCTGAGGCGCTTGTTGCGGGAGCGGCTACCATACCACTGCCCAGGAGGCGAGGCGAGGCTGGACACCGGGGTGGAGCGTAGCGGAGCGGGGAACGGGGACAACAGGAGAGGGGAACGAACGATGACTACCCATGGAGCGAACCAGCGACGTGGGGCAGGTGAGCAGCGCCGCCGATGCAGCCCCATACGCGGCTGGGGCACTAGGGTCCCTGAACTGCACGGAGTCCCTGGCTGACCTGTCCGTCTGTGTACGCACGAGGCCATTTACTCATCTCGGTGACTGCCTCATCAGAAGAACTAACCCGCCGCCGTGGTCCCACGTTTCCGCCCAAGCCTACCCGTTGCGTCCGCGACGCCTCACCGGTGGGGACAAGGAAGAACAAACTTTTTGCGTCGGCGGCTAGGCAGAATAACTGCGCTGGAGGAAGAATTCACTAAACGGGGGCAGCGTTGTAGCGAATTTTGCCACAATGCAAGAGAGATGGAAAACGGGGAGGGCGAGCGGCCGAAGGGGTGGGGGAAACGGCCGCCCATTAGGACGGGTCAAAGGAGGAACCAACATACAAAACGCATGCTCATCAAGCCATCGCTTGAGCAAACCGACGTCCAACGGCCACTGCTGCTGCCCTGCTTGTCCACAAGTCCCACCAGCCTTCCAAAACTTGGATCAGAAGGATTAGAGCAGGATGAGGTCTGGATGGGAGGAGGGAGGGGGGCAGGGAGGGTGGGAGGGGGGAGGATGGGCACACCGCTCGAGCCAGAGGACAATGAAGAGAAGGACGAGCACGAGACTGAATAAGAGAAGGCCGTCTCTAGACGCGAGGGCAGACAATACAACGGCTCCAGCATGGTCAAACATGCACGCCTCATCCGAGGCCATACTGCCCCTCCTTTCTCCTCCCTCCTCCTACTCTCCTACTCCATCTCTTTCTCATTCCCACTCATCTTCTTTCTCATCCCTCGACTGCCCAATCCGTTCTCCTTCCGCGACTGCCAGGTCCACTTCCTCCTCCACGCCCTCATGATCGTCGTCACCATCAAAATCAGCATCCCTCCACTACTCATGCTCATCATAATTCTGGTCCTACTCGTCTCATCACCCTTCTTTTGGTGTCCCTCCTCACCCGCTTCCTCCATCACATCATCATCATCATCATCATCATCATCATCATCATCATCATCATCATCATCATCATCATCATCATCATCACCATCACCATCACCATCACCATCACCATCACCATCACCATCACCATCACCATCACCATCACCATCACCATCACCATCATCATCATCATCATCATCATCATCATCATCATCATCGGCATCATCATCAGCATCAGCATCATCAGCATCAGCATCATCAGCATAAGCATCAGCATCAGCATACTGGTCGTCATTGTCATCGTCATCGTCATCGTCATCATCATCATCAGCAGCAGCAACACCATCATCATCATCACCACAACCTCCACAACCATCACCAACACCAACATCGCTATCCTACTCGCCGCTTCACCATCCTCATCACCATCATCGCCATCCTGTTATCACCATCATCATCAGCATCATCTCCAATATCACCATCATCATAATCACCACCATCATCATCATCATCATCATCAGCACCAGCATATTCACCATCATCATTACCACCACCATCACCACCATCACCACCATATGCATTATCATCAGTAACGGCATCATCATCATCACCAGCAACATCCTTATCATTATCAACAGCGTCATCGTCATGTTCGTGTTCATCATCATCACACGCATCGCAATCATTAGCAGCAGCAACGTCATCATCATCATCATCAGCACCGTCGTCACCATCACCATCAGCATCGTCATCATCATCATCATCAGCATCATCGTCATCACTATCATCACCACCATCAACGGAAAAGCCATCAACACCATCATCGTCATCACCATCACCATCACCACCATCATCATCATCATCACCATTATCATCATTATCATCATCACCATCACCATCACCATCACCATCATCATCATCATCAGCAGCAGCAGCATCACCAACATAACCATCATCAACATCATCAATAACAACACTAACATCAACATCAACATCGACACCGTCATCACCACATCCATCACCACCAACACCATCTTCTACCGCTTCCACTCGCTACACCCTCTCTGCGACTGGGGTCGTTCCCCTGGCATACCGTCGGCCCGTATCATAAGGATACGCAATAAGGATGCAAAAACCTTGGACGCCCGTTTCGAAGCATTTCGAGCGGGGCGCGGCCAACGAAAGTGGCCAAGGATGGACCGAGGAGGCAAGGATGCAAGGGAAGGTTGCCCGTCCTTACTATGCGGGTTGACTGTACTGGCATCGTCCCCCCCACCCCCCCACCCCACCACCCGCACACCCCACCCATGTACCCCCCCGCACCACTCGCACAGACACACTGACAATTTGTTTTGCTTCGCGGCCGGTGAGTCCAACAGGGCGCGGGCATGCACGCACATACACAGAATCCCTTAGGGGTTCTTGCTTGTTCCCAACCATCCTGTGGTGTTGGGTCCTCGTTTTGAAGAGACAGCGCCCCGCGTTCACTCCTCCTCCTCCTCGCCCCTCCTCCCCATCATCATCATCATCATCATCATCGTCATCATCAGCAGCAGCAGCAGCAGCAGCAACATCATCATCATCATCATCATCATCATCATCATCATCATCACCATCATCATCATCATCACCATCGACGTCATTATCACCATCCTCATCATCATCGCCATCACCGTCATGATCGTCATTATCACCCCTTTCGGTACACCCCTCACACGTTCCGTGGCCCCATAGGGAGCTCAACCGACGGCTCCAGTGGGGGTGCCCGCATGCTTCCGCCACACTCAGCACAGCGTTTCGTGGCCCCGTAGGGAGCTCCACCGAAGGCCCCAGTGGGGGTGCCCGCATGCGTCCGCCACGCCCAGCACAGCGTTTCGTGGCCCCATAGGGAGCTCCACCGAAGGCCCCAGTGGGGGTGCCCGCATGCGTCCGCCACACCCAGCACAGCGTTTCGTGGCCCCTGTAGGGAGATCCACCGAAGGCCCCAGTGGGGGTGCCCGCACGCGTCCGCAACACCCAGCACGGCGCTTCGTGGCCCCATAGGGAGCTCCACCGAAGGCCCCAGTGGGGGGTGCACGCATGCGTCCGCCACACCCAGCACAACGCTTCGTGGCCCCATAGGGAGCTCCACCGAAAGCCCCAGTGGGGGTGCCCGCATGCGTCCGCCACACCCAACACAGCGTTTCGTGGCCCCATAGGGAGCTCCACCGAAGGTCACAATGGGGGTGCCCGCATGCGTCCGCCACACCCAGCACAGCGTTTCGTGGCCCCATAGGGGCTCCACCGAAGGCCCCAGTGGGGGTGCCCGCACGCGTCCGCCACACCCATTACGGCGCACCCCTCACGCATGTCGTGTCCCACCGATAACGGCACCCACAATGCGTTACTCACAACTGATTATGGTTGGGTCCTTCGCCAGGATAATTTTCTAACGAACTGGGCCTGAAAATCGGTCTGGCGGTTATGTCGCCGCCGTCGCCTCCCCGTCGCTGCCTGGTCGCCAACCCGTCGTCCGGGCCTGAAGGTCGGTCGTGGGGCGATGTAGTCTCCGTCGCCGCCCCGTCGCCGCCCGTCGTCCGGGCCACATAGACTGCACAATCTGGATTCTCCTCTTCCTAAAAAGATGTTCGGGTCGACCCCCCCCGGATTTATCCGCACCCCTTGGGTTATGCAAATTACATACTATTATGCCCCATCGTTCTTTTGCACATGAGTTCATACCAACCCAACAAGAATGATGCTTCCTCACAATTCACTCACAGACGAAGTTCCCGTCTGAGACTTCCTTCATGTTCATTCCAGAGGAGCCGAAAAGTGACGACAATTACAAGATTCCGATGGCCCGCTCGGATTACCAAGGTGAAATGCGGACCCCATAGGGAGGAGGCTCCCGCTTGAAACTTCCTCGCAATGCACTCACAAACGAATATCCCGCCTGAGAATTCCTCCATATTCAAGCCAGAGGAGCCGAAAACTAACGACAATTACAGGATCCAGATGACCCGCTCGGATTACCAACATGAAGTGCGGAATACATAGGGAAGGGGCTCCCGCCTGAGACTTCCTCACGATGCACTCACAAACGAAGCTGCCGCTCGAGACTTCCTCCATATTCAGGCCAGAAAAACCCAAAAGTGACGACAGTTACAAGTCTCCGATGACCCGCTCGGATTCGAACATGCCGCGCGGGCCGTAGGGAGGGGGCTCCCGCTCGAGACTCCCTCGCGATTCACTCACAGTCGAGGCCCCTCTTGGTCGATGATCATGAAGGGATGGTGATAGTG